CAGTGGTTCTCAAACTTTTTTGGTCGCGCCCCCCTTTAAACCTATAAAATAATCTGGCACCCACTCCCCCGAATCCCCATCCCACCTCAGACTACCAAATAATTTCACTAAACATTATGTAAAATGTATGCTTTTTTAATTTAAAAAACCTACATGGAAAAAAAAACATCTGCATCACTTGAAACATTGAAAAATAGCATAGAGATTTTTTTTTTGTGGGTTTCATGCTGTCCGCTAAGGCATAGGACACACACAGTCTGTCCTCCTCACCAATGACATTAAACACCGTGTCTACACCAGACGCGAGCTGCAAAATACAGTAGAACCCATTATAATCAGTGACGCTGTGTACACTGGATGCGGCGTGGCACGACAAAACCCAGACATTAAACTGATGCCTTGTTCTATTTATGACTTACTGACACAAAGTTAAAATGATTTGCAACGGTCGCTTTGTCGCGTCCAGTGTAGAGCTGTTAACAACTGTTGCGTCCAGTATAGACACGATGAGTGAAGCCGAGAGCAAGATATGCCTCGTCATATTTTCTGCATTTAGCTTTCGAATGACCAGCACCTGCCTGGGTCTGTGCGACTTCATCTATGGCTTTTCTCTTCCCTTTCACAAACTGATCCATCTCCCATTCTAAGTTACGTCCTTTGGCTGTTTACCGTTTTATTTATTTTCTTTTTCTGCTGATGGCCCTCACTCGACTTGAGATGGCCCGCGCCCCCCCTGCAATACTTGTGCGCCCCCCCGGCGGGTGCCTCCCACAATTTGAGAACCACTGCATTAGGTGAACAACAGCTCACAAGCCTAAAATATAGAGAAAAGAGTCCTAAAACCCAGAAACAATGGCCTTCTGGTCCCATCATACGAAAGTCGGTAGGGTTTTTTAATGGGACCTTGAATGCCTGAAATAAGGTCTTTAACACAATCTCAAGAAATGATTACATTTTATTGTACAAAAATTTCTAATACCCCATTTATGATTGTTTAAGCTTTTACATGTCTTGAAAAGGTAGATGGCTAACAAGTGACTAAATGGGACGTTGTCGGACACATTAAACATCATTATGCCCAACAGGAAAACTACTGACTCACTAGTCCATTTCTACAGCTTCAAGTGTGTTTATACTTATACTCACTTATACTATACTGCAAACTATTCTACCTCAAACTTTCCAGCATGTAGATTTTAAATTTACAGTTAAAAGAGTTGAAGGCTAATGATGTTGACAACCATGCTGTAGATTGTTCATAACCTAATGTTTCACTTCTGCAGATTGCATTTAGGGTTTAAAATGTATAAAAGTTGTGTTAATTCGTGAAGATTATCTTGATGAACAAAAAATCTAAGACTCATGACCTTTTATTGGTCACAGAGCTTATTTTCAGCAATACTCCAAAAGCCAACAGAAAAAAAACCTATTGGCTTTTTGTTGAGGGAACCAGAGTGATGCTAACTTCCGGGTTGGCCTACAAACATACTTCATCCTTGCCACACTCTAATGATCCTGTTACGCAGAAGTATCAGTGCAACTGAATCATACCATATTGTTGAGTCGGTCATCTAAGCTTCCATTGGAGATGCTCCAGTTGTGCAGCTCCTGCTCATCTGTGCCATCTTCAAATGGTGTGCCGCCCGTCGCCATCATGAACAATCAGAACCTGCAGAAAACCACCAAATGAACACTTACACAAACCTCACCTAAAGAAATGCATAACCCCAATCCACTTTCTCAGAAAACTCATATACACGGTGCAGCCACACAGCTTCTTGATGTGACAGTTTCATTTGAGGGGCTGAGGTTTGTTTGACCAGCTGCCAAGCAACATATAACACGCCACACTGAGCATGACAACTAGAGCCCGACCGATATATCACTTTGCCGATTTTATCGCATTTTATCAAATGAAGACAAAAATGTTCCTTTTCTGGTTGTCATACACATTAAGTTACAATTTTCATCTGCTCAAGCAGAACATTAATGTCATCTTGTGCTTCAGCAAAGTACCTCTGGGCTAAAACTAGTTAACGTTAAAGTTAGTGAGTCCATGCTATTACAAACCTAAATAGCAAACTGTTTACACATCGTGTACAGTGTAGGTCAAAAACACATAAACGAAGGTCTACATTTCAGTGCCTCTCCATAATAAACTGGTTAAATGTACATTAATTTAATTGCACCCTGCGATACATGAACAGTGTTGATCCGGGATGTTGTTATCTGCGATCGTGACGGCCATAAGATGAGACTTCTCCTGTTTGCATTGTGATCTGTAAACCCTCACTTCGAGTTACCCACCATATTTATTTTAAAGGGGTCATATGATGCGATTTCAAGTTTTCCTTTCTCTTTGGAGTGTTACAAGCTACAAGCTCAGAAAGAAAGAGTGAGCAGCTCCGTTTGTTTGTCCGAGGGAGCAACAGTAACTGGGCGGGGCAGGGCTTACTGATAGTTCAATTGAATTGAAATAAATTTGAATAAACTTCAACTTTACTGTTCAGTGCACTGATGTCAGATTCATTTTGGATAATAAAGTTTATTGTTAAATGCCCTGCCTCCATTACATATCTTTGACACGTCATTATAAGTGTTTGATCACCACATTTGAGTGTTCATTGCAAAAAAATGTGTTTATGTATATACAGTATATTCGGTTTAAGTATATACTGTATTCTATATATAGTATCAGTCAAAAGTTTGGACACACGAATGGGAAAGTGCCCAAACTTTTGACTGGTACTGTACTATAATATACACAAAGAATATCGGCCGATATATCGATATAATATCGGAATTGACCCCCAAAAAAACAGTATCGGTCGGGCTCTATTGACAACATTAACTTGAAAAAACTGTAGATAATGACAGACCTTCACCACAGTATAAGTTCTTATAATATCCTAAAAAATTTACTGTGTCAATACCATGGAGCAGTAATTGGAATACAGTTGTATTTTGTTAAGTATGGTACTGAATCCACAGTGATCCTCAAATCTGGCTCGCGAGATCCACTTTCCTGCAGAAAGTTTAGCTCCAACCCTATAATCAAACAAACCTACCTGAGATTTTCTAATGATCCTGAAGACATTGATTAGCAAACTCAGGTGTGTTTGATTAGGGTAGAGCTAAACTCTGCAGGAAAGTGGATCTCGCGAGCCAGATTTGAGGATCACTACATGGTTCTCCAAAGGTACTAACGTTACCATGGTACGACCATAGTAAAGTTAAGTGTATAAAAAAAAAACCACAGTACTATGGTTTATATCCAAAAAGAAGTTATGCTAACGTTACGGTTACTTAAACGTAACTTACTTTTCAAAAAGACGTCTGTGCTCTTTGTTCTTCCGACAAATGTGCACTGAGGTCTGGTTTTGGTCTTATAATCTGCTCGTTTGTGAGAAGAGTCCGTTAAAACGGTTAACCCGGTCAAACCGCTCAGCTTCCCGGCTAACTGTCAACACTCGCTTCTCTCTTACATAGGCGCTTTCACCTGTGCAGGTGAAACTGTGCTGAATAAGTTTAGAGTAACGTTAGTTTAAGATATTACAAACCAACAGTTGTTATAAATTAAGTACAAGCTCCCTCACAGACATAAAATCCTCGAGCATAACGACTGACAGAGACTTTAACAGACGCGTGAAAGCTTTTTGGTCTGTCACCGTGGTTACCATGGTCACCTCTGGCACAAGCCTTGGAACTCTAGTTCCCCGCGAAAACTCCCGGCTTAGAGAAACAAACCCAACACAGGGTCACAACAACAAAACCAAATATCCCAAGTCTGATTAATATATTTATAATAAAGATAGGAGATTAGAAGCTAAATCACACATTAGCTCAATAGTGTATTATTCTATATTGACATAGGACTTGGTGTTCTTAAACTTGTCCATCTGACACAAAGGCATCTGACCGGTGCATCATTCTCTCACATAATACGATCCACTTGGTCCACCTTCAAGCGTCCCAGATCCAATTGTCCCACTTAAAATGTTTTCCATAATAATGAAACGAGAGCAAAACTTTCACATTTGAGTGGTATTTCACTCCGAGATACGAAATATGCTGATATTTCTTGAAATAACTTTGAATGTCTTTAGTGAGGGAGCTAACTTAACGTAGCAAGCTAACAAGTTGAGAGAGAAACAACTGAACGAGCACAGCTAACGTTAGCAGGCTGTTTTGCTGAATAATCAGGACACTTACCTTGAACGCTGAGGCAACCTATTACTGGAACATGAAAATAATTATCATATGTAGTTTATTAAAATCCCAGATAAAGTGTCAATGCGTAGTGCCTTCCACTCGGAGTAACCGCCTGTCCAGTCGCGGCCATCTTTAACCTATATCCAAACAAACAGGCGAAAGGATACCGCTCTCATTTTCATTAAACCGACATTTATTGTGTATTTCTTTTTATTTGTTGCATATTTTGACATTAAAAGTTGTATATTTATATTTTAAGATGACATCATTAAATAGGTTAAGCTAGTTAACAAATTGAGGCCTTAAAAGATTGGCACTATTTTACTTCTCGGAAGCATTTGGAACAGTTGGAGAAGTTATGCGCAATGTCTTAAAAGTACAGATGCAGAGAAATGTGACTGATGGAATGATGGTGATGAGTTTAAATACTTAAAAATAAATGAAAAACAAGGTAAAAACTGAAATATTTCTTGTTTAATGGATTAATTTTCAAAATAACGTGATATCATGTAATGAAAATGCAAAATCCTAACCAAATTGTTACCCTGGGAAATAATTTCAAGGACAAAACCCCTTAGTATAATAACAATAGTTTATACTTTGAAAAATGCATACACTGTAAAAAAAAATCCGTAAAATTTACGGTAAAAAACCGGCGACATATAAAGTCTTTCTCTTCACGTCACATAAATTTACAGGGCCTGGGAGATTTTTATCTATGAGTACTTGGTCTTTTGTGCTCTTTATCATAAGCACACTTGGTAGGTTACGCTGATGAATCTATATATTTGACAATACATTTATGAAAAAGAGACAAAACATGTGTGGTGCTGCTGTCACTTGGAGAATGATGAGAACAAAAATGATAAAGTGAATAGCTGTACTCTCTGGTTCAAACAAACTACTTATTAGTATTAGTAGCATGAGGATAAACATACATTCAGAAACACATAAATGCATTATAATGGAAAACAACTAAGTAGGTGTTTGGTTACACTTCCTTTTAAGGTCATTAGATACTTTATTTTAAGGTAATTCATTAAATAAGTACTGAGTAATATCAGTTAACAACACATACTATTATGGTTTTGGTTTAGGATTAGTTGCATGTAATTATGCATAATTTACTGTTAGTGCTATAGCAAGTATATATGTAACTTGTAATAAGGATACTGTAAAATAAAGTGTTACCATGTTCTTAGGCTTATTTTTCACTGAACAGACCTTCACGAGTGTTCATCAGGGAAGGATAGCTTTTTTGAAAAGGTGCGTTTATGGATTTTTACTGTTAGACATATTTCTACTGAAATAGCTGAGCTTTGGGCTGTTTGCACAACCACTGGATATGAAGCATACTATTTTATTGATCCATAGCAGGCTGTTGATATCATGCAGACAGCATTTTCTCAGTGCGATTCAATAAGCAAATACTGTGAGTTATGATCATTCTTCTGAGATATTGACACATGCACACGTACACATATGCACACGTATGCATGGGCTTTTTCTAACATGCACACACATGCCCTTTATAATCTATCATTCCTGCCCTCTTGGGCTCTTTACACACACCGTAAGAAATACTTAAGCTCTATAGTGTGAATGTTACTATGTGATTAATAATAGGTTTTCTGCAGGTTTTATGAAAGTAAATTTCAAACTTAAGACATTTTTATGACAAATTAAAGAAAAATGAAGGAATAAATTAAATGGAACACAATATGTCAACATGGTCTCTAAATGTAAATGACTTGTATCAGAAATGCTTTAACGTTTGAAAATACAACTTCCATCTGATATCCATTACTTTTTAATACATTTAATTCAAAAAATTAATAAAAATAAAAAACGTCTTCAATAAGTTTGCTGAAACTTTGCTTAACCCACAGAAACTCCAAATAACTATTAATACTTGAAGTTAATTTTGCTTTCCTTTATCTGCAGTTTTTATATTATAAAAAAAAAATGTGGAAATACATAAACATAAAAATAGCTCAATAAAATGTGTGCCTTCAACTCTTAAGCGCAAGAAAACTTTTGCTAATATTAGAATTAACAAAGACTACATATTATATAAAATATATTTTTGTTCGTAACCGTACTGTGTAACTTGTCAGTATTCCACTCTTCCAAACGAGCATTCAATTCGCATTTCCAATTATGTCCACTAGATGTCACTCTCGCGTGATTTGTCGTTCCATTTACAGTGAAAGTTTTAGCTTTAACCACAAGGTGGCAGAATAGGTTAAAGTGATAGTCCACTTCAAATAATAAGTGTCATCTTTTACTCTGCTCTGCCTCATGCCGTTTCAAACCTGCATGACTTTCTTTCTTCTCTGGAACACAAAATAAGTTATTTTGAAAATTGTTGTTTTGGCTCCCACTGGCTTACTGTACGTACAACCAAATACAATGGAAGTCAATGGGAGCCAAAAGTGTTTTCATTTTTGGGCATACTATCCCTTCCTTAACACTGACACCGTCAATTTAATTTCAAATCAGAGCAGTATAAAAACACATTCTATTTATCTTTTAAAAAGGTCGTGGAATAAAGAAAAATTATAAGAATTATGTATAAAGTAAAAAAAAAAAAACACCATCATGCTCTCTTGGTCAAACTGCAAGATAAAATTGTGTGGAAAGTTCTGAGTTCACAAACATCTTTTTTGTAATATTTTTATTTATATTTCCTCGAATGTATACATGTACTTTATTTAAAGAAATTGTAAACTTCAAAAAATAAACCCTGTGTGCTGTTTGCATTAAAATAAACAATACAACATACAGTATAATAGATAAACATCCAGAAATTTAATGCACTAATTAAAAAAATAAAATAAAGCAAAGAAGGGCACTGTGGTTGAGATAGGGACACATTCACACCTTAAGCGTTCTGGATGTGTGGGCCACTGGACACAGTTTGGGAGAGAAGTAAATACATTCCACAATATTAGGAATAGAGATCTGGATCTACAGTATATGCAGTTCAGAGGTGTGGTTGAGATTTAAGCTTCTTTCTTGAAATGTCTTTTTTCCTTTTTGTATTCATGCTGTAAAATGTCAATCCAAGCAAACAGAGGACTTCTGTTTTCCATCCTTTTTGCAAATATCATATAGTGTTCTTGTCAGCATACAAAAAAAAATGACAGCTTTACACCTTGACTTACTATGCACAAACCATTTTAATAAAACAAAAAAAAAGGATAAAAGAGCACAAGTAACAGAAAATGGCAGTCCGAGGAAGAGATACTTTATGTACAAGCCCTGAGGTATGTTCCCTCCTCAGAGAAATGTTTGTGAAAGAGATTGAAGGAGGGAGAGACAGACAGACAATAAAGAACAAACAAGCTTGTAACTGAACAAGGCAATTCCTTGATCTAGAAGTGCAACTGTGCATCATTGTCTTTAACTGGAAAGGGAACATTTATAAACTTTACAAGCCTTTACAAACTGTACAAGTCCTATTATAGGAATAAAATGGCCAAAGGGTCCATATGTGCCTCTGAGCAAGCGTGGTCAGAGTTCAGAGGTTATCTGGGTGATATCGGGGCTGTGGAGAAGGAGGCAGAGTTTGGAGGCGAGTGGAAAGGAGAGGAGGGTGAGAGGCGTCGAGGGCTGCAAAGGTCCCCATTGTGTAGTTTCCACAGCAACTCCTCGTTCTCCAAAGATAGCCGTTTGTTGACCTTCGACTCTTTCTGTAGGGTCTGTTGAAGCATGGCCTGCTCTGAGGAGAGCTGCCTACAGTCAAACAAGGTAAAAAAAGTTTTCCACTTTGAAAATTGAATACACTGATATTATAAAGAAAATGCTATGCTGGATCCAAGAAATACACAAAAGAATTCTACTTACTTTGAAAGTGCAGCATGTTTGTCCATCCGAGCCTTGTAGTCCTCGTTCTCCTGCTGGACCTTCTTTAAACACTCTTCCAGTTTCAAATTATCATCAATCTGTAAACAACGTTAAAAACATGAATGTATTATTTATTCATCAAAAAGACGCTATACCAATGGTAAACCCAAAGTTAAGTTAAAAATGACATTTTTTTGTCTTTATAGATTTCTCTGTGTTACGAGTTTAAATGTGGCAAGTTACAAAAATATTTTTTCTTTATTCTGCAGAACACAAAAGATATTTTATATTTATCATTGTTTTTGTGCATATAGTCAGTACACTGAAAAATAAAACTTGTAAGATTTACTTGATAAAATCTTTGTAACAATTTGCACCAACACATTTTAAAGGGGTCATATGATGCTTTTTTAAAGATCATTATTTTGTGTATTTGGTGTAACAGAATATGTTGACATGCTTTATCTAGAAACACACAGCATCACCCTGACATGGCTGCTTCAACACTAACTGCGGTTACTGAAACCACGCCTTCTTTCTTTGCGTGCACATTTGGGCCGCATTATGCTAATATTGCCACATAGTGAGGTAGATATGTGGGGGCGTGTTAGAACGAGCCGTTTTAGGGGGGCGTGGCAGAGTCTTAACTTTGATAAAGAATATCTCTTTGGTTTTGAGACTTTAGTCTTTGCAACTTCAGGGATCTTATCTATGCACAATCAGCTTGTAACACTCCAAAGAGAAAGGAAAACTTGAAATCGCATCATATGACTGCTTTAAGTAAATTTTAATGTTACTGCTCTGTACAATTTACCTGCTATTGTCAAATAAAATCTACATACTATTGAACTTAACGTTCATAAAGAAATTAAGTAAATATTACATAATTATATTTGATTTCACATATAGAATTAAGTCAAATTACCTAAGTAAATAAGAAAAAGAAAATAAGTAACTTTAGCTTGACCAAGGCTCTCTGTGTATACTGAATATAGCACTGAATTAAACCACGCTTTTAAAGTTTTTGTTTTACTCAGAAACATCTAAGACACCATATCTACATAATTAATAATGCAGTACTCATCCGAACACAGAGACTTCAATACTTGGTACACAATACACAATGACAGCAACATTCTGTTGACCGTTTTTTTGAGTATAAAATGAATGTTACTAAACCTGACAACAAAAGCAATGATAAAACAGAGTGACTACAGCTGGAAAACAGCAATAAATAAATAATAAAAAAGAGTAACAAAATCAACCTTATTTATTATTCATGTCCCAGTTTATGTGAACACCAGTATCAGAAAAGTTGAGTAGGCTTTACTTCATTTTATAACATTGATATTTATGCTTTAATTTCTACTAGCTTGAATTGAGTACTAATATAGAATTAACTGTTTTTTTTAATTATTGCCTGAACTAACTTTTTCATGTAGAAATTGTATTTGTTTTTCTGTAGTATTTACTTCACCACAAAATAATTTTTATCGGTGTAGGGTCCAATATCATTTTGGACTCAACTGACTTTCATTATGGACAAAACCATTCTTCAAAGTATCTTCTTTTGTGTTGTACAGTCATTCAAGAAATTTTCATTTAAAAAAATTTGGGTGAACTATTCTTTAAGGCATCATTTTGGATTAATCAGTAAATGTGACTTAGTCTCAAGTCGCTTGGGTATATTTTTATCAATAGCCAAAAAAACATTGTATGGGTCAAAATTATCAATTGGCGATTTTCTCGGTATTTTGATTTTTTTGCACCATCAGATTCCAGATTTTCAAATAGTTGTATCTCAGCCAAATATTGTCCTATCATAACAATCATAACCTATCATAACCAGACATCAATGGAAAGCTTATTTATGCAGCTTTCAGATGATGTATAAATCTCAATTTCAAAAAATTGACCCTTATGACTGGTTTTGTGGTCCATGGTCACAAATATCTAACAGTGACATAAATGATGTAATAGGAATATAAGGAAGCTACTTGACATGAAGGCAGCTGACCTGGCAAAGGCTAATTATAGATCCAGTGATACAGGCAGATGTAACCAGAATTTGATGGGCTCATAATGCAACGAGGAAGCTACAGGGGCATCTAATGCATATTTATTACATGTGTGCATATTCTCACCAGTTTGTCCATCTGCATTAGTTTCTTGTCTTGCTGGTGTATCTGGTTGGTCTTTATTTCCAGCACGGCTCTGAGACTCTCCAGCTCTTGTTCCAAAAACAGTGTGTGAGCGTCCTTCTGCACACAGAGAAAAAGGTGCTCAGTTTGTGTTTACGGCATCTGGGACTACAAAGAAATACATGGAGCATCTCTACGGGTCACAGGCTTGGTATGGGTCACAGTAACTAGCTTTACATGGTCAAGATGGTCAATCAGATGTCCCACTAGCCCTCTTGAAACTACGGTTGGGGATGCTGTTGTTGACAAGCACACCAGAATAAGAACAGAAGACCCACACAAATGTAAACATTTCTAATGGACTGCATTAGGACACAGTTCTTGGTGTCAGTGTTGTTATTTATAGCTATTAACAGTCATTTTTGTTAATAGAAAAACAGCTGAACTACAATAACATGAAAATAATGCATTACATTTTAAAAATTAGAAATGCTGTCTAAGTGAAACTAAATTGAAGTACTAAAATTAATACAACTAAAATTGAAATAAAAATAAATAAGCCTAACAGAAATATTAAAAAAGTAATAAATATGACAAAAAAAACATAATGAAATTACTAAAACTAAAATGAAAAATGAAAACTGAAAATATGACAATAAAAGTCAAAATATTAATAATTATAATAGTGTATTAGCATTCGTTTTGGGGCTTGTCATAAAATAGTGAAAAAATTATTTAAATTCAATTACACTAACTGTAAACCAGCAATGTGGTTATACTGTGAATAATACAGATTACTGCAAAAGCATTACAAATTTTACCTGACTTTTGTCTGCCAGAGCTCTCCTCCATTCCTCCTCTTCTCTCAGTCTTTCTTTCAAAGCCTCGTTTTCTGCTGTCAAAGTCTGAATTTTCTCCTGTAGGATAGAGAAAGTGATTAAATAAACAATTACCAAAAAGCATATACACATTATTTTCAATTTGCAAATTAAGCATAATATGAATACAATATATTTTGAAGATTAAAAGTAAGTTAATTCATATTTGCATGTTAAGACGGCGATGCATACATTGAGCATGGCTTCAGACTCCTTGAGTGTTTTATCAAGTTCTTGCATGTCCTGTTCATGAGTCTTCCTGAGCTCTGGAAAATGAAAAAAAAAATGGATAGATTTTCCTCATCTGATTATCAATAGCCAAAAAAACATTGTATGGGTCAAAATTATCAATTGGCGATTTTCTCGGTATTTTGATTTTTTTGCACCATCAGATTCCAGATTTTCAAATAGTTGTATCTCAGCCAAATATTGTCCTATCATAACAATCATAACCTATCATAACCAGACATCAATGGAAAGCTTATTTATGCAGCTTTCAGATGATGTATAAATCTCAATTTCAAAAAATTGACCCTTATGACTGGTTTTGTGGTCCATGGTCACAAATATCTAACAGTGACATAAATGATGTAATAGGAATATAAGGAAGCTACTTGACATGAAGGCAGCTGACCTGGCAAAGGCTAATTATAGATCCAGTGATACAGGCAGATGTAACCAGAATTTGATGGGCTCATAATGCAACGAGGAAGCTACAGGGGCATCTAATGCATATTTATTACATGTGTGCATATTCTCACCAGTTTGTCCATCTGCATTAGTTTCTTGTCTTGCTGGTGTATCTGGTTGGTCTTTATTTCCAGCACGGCTCTGAGACTCTCCAGCTCTTGTTCCAAAAACAGTGTGTGAGCGTCCTTCTGCACACAGAGAAAAAGGTGCTCAGTTTGTGTTTACGGCATCTGGGACTACAAAGAAATACATGGAGCATCTCTACGGGTCACAGGCTTGGTATGGGTCACAGTAACTAGCTTTACATGGTCAAGATGGTCAATCAGATGTCCCACTAGCCCTCTTGAAACTACGGTTGGGGATGCTGTTGTTGACAAGCACACCAGAATAAGAACAGAAGACCCACACAAATGTAAACATTTCTAATGGACTGCATTAGGACACAGTTCTTGGTGTCAGTGTTGTTATTTATAGCTATTAACAGTCATTTTTGTTAATAGAAAAACAGCTGAACTACAATAACATGAAAATAATGCATTACATTTTAAAAATTAGAAATGCTGTCTAAGTGAAACTAAATTGAAGTACTAAAATTAATACAACTAAAATTGAAATAAAAATAAATAAGCCTAACAGAAATATTAAAAAAGTAATAAATATGACAAAAAAAACATAATGAAATTACTAAAACTAAAATGAAAAATGAAAACTGAAAATATGACAATAAAAGTCAAAATATTAATAATTATAATAGTGTATTAGCATTCGTTTTGGGGCTTGTCATAAAATAGTGAAAAAATTATTTAAATTCAATTACACTAACTGTAAACCAGCAATGTGGTTATACTGTGAATAATACAGATTACTGCAAAAGCATTACAAATTTTACCTGACTTTTGTCTGCCAGAGCTCTCCTCCATTCCTCCTCTTCTCTCAGTCTTTCTTTCAAAGCCTCGTTTTCTGCTGTCAAAGTCTGAATTTTCTCCTGTAGGATAGAGAAAGTGATTAAATAAACAATTACCAAAAAGCATATACACATTATTTTCAATTTGCAAATTAAGCATAATATGAATACAATATATTTTGAAGATTAAAAGTAAGTTAATTCATATTTGCATGTTAAGACGGCGATGCATACATTGAGCATGGCTTCAGACTCCTTGAGTGTTTTATCAAGTTCTTGCATGTCCTGTTCATGAGTCTTCCTGAGCTCTGGAAAATGAAAAAAAAAATGGATAGATTTTCCTCATCTGACAGAAAGATTAGATCAAAATCAAAATACAGTACATGTAATGAAAGGATAAACAATAGGCCTTTTGATGAGTGAAATTACCTGCAAGTGAAGTCTCATGTGCCTGTTTCAGTGTTGCTATCTGCTGAGTGTGTACCACTTCCTGTTGGCTCCTCAGTGCTTCTTGTTTGCTCCTCACATCCTCCACCTGTCAGTGGAAACCATACTCATCTTCATTAAACAATAAATGTACTTTATTTTTTGCTCAAGTTGCACTGGTTGGTATTGCAGGGCAGATGCACCATCACGTAAAAAATGTTTTTAGTTACTGATGCCATTTATTCACAGTCAAAACAATTATAAATTAATGAATTTAAAAAGACAAACATTAAAAAAAAAACAAAAAAACAGTTCACACATTCAGAAAATGCGCTCACAATAAACCAGACGTAATATTGCGTGATTAGAGCCCATTTAACATGATTACATGACACATGATTTCTGTGTGATGTAAGCAGAGGCAAGCCCAGGTAAGATCCTACCTGCTGCTGCATGAGCGCCCTGCATTTATCCGCCTCTCTCTGATAGGCCTCGTGGGTCTTGTCCCATTCTGCGGAGTAGAAGTCCTTCAGCCGCTCCTCCAGCTGCTGTAGTTCTGTCTGATGCTGCTCCTTTAGTTTCTGAAACAATGCCTCCAAAGTAACACGCACCTCCTCCTTCTCTCTCTCCAGCTGTTCACAACACGAGATAGAGTTACCTGGGAATTAAGTGATAGAGAGGAGCATGTTAGGAGCATTGTGACTATTGTACGGCAAATTTAAAATTTTATTGAATCTAGAATGTTCTGATGGTTCAGACAAAACAATATAGAATCCACCAGTTGGTCAATTTTCTAAAGAGTCAGTAAAATCCAGAATAGAACCTAGAATGTACTGGTGGTAAAATTCCTTACGTTGTCAGAATTCTATTCTAGATTCTACGGACTCTTCAGCGAATTAAAAATGTAGAAATTCTGGAAAGTTTTGATGGTCAATTCTCTAAAGAGCCAGTAGAATATAACACAAAATCTAGAATGAACCATGGGTTTAATTCGGCAAAGAGAATACAAAATAGAATTTAACCTAGTGTAAATTGAAACAGAAGAACATTTCTAAAAGTTAAAAATACTGAAAATTGTTTTTGTTAACTGAAATAAAGATTAAATAAAATAATAAAAAACAATAGAACAGAAATGTTCTAGACATTTCTAGAAAAAATAGAAATGTAGAATAGAACTGTACTAGAAATTAAATAAAATAAGTTTTAAGTTGAAGTAATAAAATTACTAAAAAGAAATTAAAGCTAAAAAGAAATATAAAAAATAGTAATAAAAATAAAACAGCACATAACAAAAATCCCAGAACTTTCAAATTAAAATAATGAAAACTGAAAATATAAAAATAAAAGCTAATTCAAAATATTAATTAATTCCATAATAATAATTAATTATAATTGTGTGTATATATATATATATATATATATATATATATATATATATATATATATATAATTCAGAAAATGCGCTCACAATAAACCAGACGTAATATTGCGTGATTAGAGCCCATTTAACATGATTACATGACACATGATTTCTGTGTGATGTAAGCAGAGGCAAGCCCAGGTAAGATCCTACCTGCTGCTGCATGAGCGCCCTGCATTTATCCGCCTCTCTCTGATAGGCCTCGTGGGTCTTGTCCCATTCTGCGGAGTAGAAGTCCTTCAGCCGCTCCTCCAGCTGCTGTAGTTCTGTCTGATGCTGCTCCTTTAGTTTCTGAAACAATGCCTCCAAAGTAACACGCACCTCCTCCTTCTCTCTCTCCAGCTGTTCACAACACGAGATAGAGTTACCTGGGAATTAAGTGATAGAGAGGAGCATGTTAGGAGCATTGTGACTATTGTACGGCAAATTTAAAATTTTATTGAATCTAGAATGTTCTGATGGTTCAGACAAAACAATATAGAATCCACCAGTTGGTCAATTTTCTAAAGAGTCAGTAAAATCCAGAATAGAACCTAGAATGTACTGGTGGTAAAATTCCTTACGTTGTCAGAATTCTATTCTAGATTCTACGGACTCTTCAGCGAATTAAAAATGTAGAAATTCTGGAAAGTTTTGATGGTCAATTCTCTAAAGAGCCAGTAGAATATAACACAAAATCTAGAATGAACCATGGGTTTAATTCGGCAAAGAGAATACAAAATAGAATTTAACCTAGTGTAAATTGAAACAGAAGAACATTTCTAAAAGTTAAAAATACTGAAAATTGTTTTTGTTAACTGAAATAAAGATTAAATAAAATAATAAAAAACAATAGAACAGAAATGTTCTAGACATTTCTAGAAAAAATAGAAATGTAGAATAGAACTGTACTAGAAATTAAATAAAATAAGTTTTAAGTTGAAGTAATAAAATTACTAAAAAGAAATTAAAGCTAAAAAGAAATATAAAAAATAGTAATAAAAATAAAACAGCACATAACAAAAATCCCAGAACTTTCAAATTAAAATAATGAAAACTGAAAATATAAAAATAAAAGCTAATTCAAAATATTAATTAATTCCATAATAATAATTAATTATAATTGTGTGTGTATATATATATATATATATATATATATATTATATTATATTATTATTATTCAGCCAGTATAATCTGGAACATGCTGATGGTTTAATTCCCTAAAGTATCAATAGAATCTAGAATTTAACTAATTTAATTAGCTAAATATTCTGTAAAATCAAGATTTGAATCTAGAACATACTGTATTAAGAATTCTATTCTTTAAAACATGTAATTATCAGTACATTTACATTAAAATGACATAATTACAAATTCTGAAGAGTGCAGTTAGGATTCCTCTCAAATTTTCAATGGACATTTAAGCCTAGCATGCATGTGTTTCTGAAGCCTCAGGATAACTATTTCTTTGAATTCTGTGAGGACTGAACCAGCAGCAGAGTGTCATTTGGCCAACTGCACCTTCAGACTTGCATACAGGAGCCAGTGTGAGTGAAACATTCCTCATACACCACACACACATCCCTCACACTTGTCCCAAAGCCAAAGGCCATGAGTGTGTAAGGCCAGACTAATTAAACATAACAAGCTGCACAACCCTAACGCTCTACAGCATTAGAAATGTGTGTGCCCAGGCTTGCCAAGAATGTGTGCGTATTTGTGTTCAAGGTGCGAATGGATTGAGGAGTCGTATTTTGTTGCTAACACATTCAAATAAATACACCAACTCCAAACACAATAAAAGGCAGTCAAACGTCTACAGGGCGTAATAAAACAGGTGGAATGTGACTGCCGTGTGGTTGTTAACATCGGTTTCCCAATTTCCAAACAATGAGCTGTACACTTCCATCAATACGATGCTCATCGGAACAGAGAATTCAACAGGATAAAACATGAAACAGCCTCACTCTGGAATGTAGAGAATAATATCATCCAAGAACAAATATGTGACTGGCAATTCACAGCAAGGTAATAAAGCTTCAAACACAGGCTAAGTGGTGTTAATGATAATATAGACAAATAATTAATACATAGATCACTAGAATTTAACATTCTCTAAAGAAGAGTTGAGTGAATACGGCTAAATACGGCTTGGGTAAATAATCCGTAAGAAGAAAAAAAAAAAAAACCGTGCTAAAACAAATTCTGAAATTCTGCAATTCCAACTAGGTGTGACCCCGAAACTAGACATTCACACAGACCTATTTTATCAGAACTGTGCCCTTGAGCAAGGCAGTTATTCCAAGGTTTCTCACAGAGACTTTCCCTACAATTAGTGTTTTTTCAAGTCACTCTGAATAAAAGCACCTGTTACATGACAGCTATCTAACCAAGATGAAAGCTTACGGTCTGTGAGCCTTGAAAAGGGACATAATAACGAAGTCTCTGTGTGTGACTGGACATGTGTTGCTTACCCAGTTGCTCTCGCAGGTTGTTGATTTGGACAGAAAGTTCTTCCTTCTGTTTGACTGCCACCTCACGCTATAATAAATGACAGAAAAAACAAAACCAAAAATGAGTCACTCAAACAAATCAAGAAAGTGTAAAAGCATAGTTGGTAATAAAATGTCTAACATAAAGAAAGATTTTAGGTAAAAGAATATATGTGACCATGGACCACAAAACCAGTCATATGGGTCAATTTTTTAAAATTGAGATTTATACATCATCTGAAAGCTGAATAAATAAGCTTTCAATTGATGTATGGTTTATTAGGATAGGACAATATTTGGCCGAGATACAACTATTTGAAGATCTGGAATCTGAAGGTGCAAAAAAATCTAAAATCGCCTTTAAAGTTGTCCAAATGAAGTTCTTAGCAATGCATATTACTAATCAAAAATTAAGTTTTGATATATTTATGGTAGGAAATTTACAAAATATCTTCATGGAACATGATCTTTACTTAATATCCTAATGATTTTTGGCATAAAAGAAAAATCGATAATTTTGACCCATACAATGTTTTTTTGGCTATTGCTAAAAATATAACCAAGCGATTAAGACTGGTTTTGTGGTCCAGGGTCACATATATAATTTCAAACTTCAAATTTACTGTATATGTATATATATATATATATATATATATATATATATATAGTACAAAAAAACAGTATTATTTTGAAATAATATTAGAATTTGAATTAACTGATTTCTATTCTATTCAGAAATTATTTGATGAAAATAAAGTTTAAAACAACAGCATCTATCTGAAATATAATTCTTTGTATCATTATAAATGTCTTTACCGTCACTTTTGATCAATGTAATAGATCCTTGCTGAATTAAAGTATACATTTCTTTAAAAAAATCTTACTGACCCCAAAGTTTTGAACTTGTGTTATTTTAGTATCATTGAGATACATTTATAGGGTTTATATTTTGAATTTATATTTTCGATGCGGAGAGACACAGAGGAGACGAATTGTTGAATAAAGTCTTTAATTTTGTTTTCTTCACGTACAAAAAGTATTCTCGTCGTTTCATAACGTTACGGTTGAACCACTGATGGCAGATGGACTATTCTGACGATGTCTTTCATACTTTTCTGGACCTTGACAGTGTAATTTACTTGGCAGTCAATGGGACAGTCACAAGCCTCCCGGTTTTCATCCAAAATATCTTAAAGCAGCGCTATGTAACTTTTTCTGTGTTCAGAATTTGCAAAATGTACATAATGAGCGAGTACATCATGAAATCATCTTCCAAACCGCGTTTTTGTCTTATTCCGAATCACTACGGTACACTTATAATAAGTACTTATATTTGGACTATTGTAGCCTGGTCACCGCTGCGGAGGAACAGGGTTTGGAACGACATGGGGGTAAGTGATTAATAAAAAAATAATAATTTTGGGGTGGAGTAACCCTTTAAGACTGGTTTTGTGGTCCAGGGTCACATATAGTATTAGACTTATAGAATATACTGTAAAGGAAAATATTAATTTATATTCTTTAAAAAATAATGTATTTTTGAAAGAATAAATATTACATTTAGTTAAATAATGTAAGTTCATAAAAGGTGCATAATTTTTTTTTAATCATACAAATGTTTAATACCAAAAAGAATGTGTTGTTTTAAATATTTTTAGAAGTATAGCTTGTCACAATGCAATGGTTCTTAAAACATTTTTAGAAACATTTTAATAAAAATGAAAAACAACCTAATAAACCAAATCTAGGGGAAAGTGCTGTTACTTAAAACTAAACAAAAACTTGTTAGTAAAATAAAATCTAAATATTAGATTAACAACTTAAATGAAAATGTACATTTCTGTTGAAATAAAATGAATTTGAAGCACTAAAATGACTAAAATAAAATATAAAAGCTACATATAAAAGTAGCTTTAAAAGAACTAATAAAAAGACAAAAGCACAAAAAATACTAAAAAATTTAAATTTAAATGAAAACTGAGAATATAAAAATAAAAGCTAATTCAAAATATTAATAAGCATATAAATACAGATGATAACAAACTAATGGCTACTGGGGGAAACCACCAAATATTTAGCTAATTCTTCTTTCATTGAAATTAGCTACTTCCACTCACAGCCAATGAACTTCTATGAGCCCACTGTTTGTTAAACAAGAACATATTTTAATCCCAAATTACTGTTAACATAATTAGTTAATTATTTTATTGTTATGAATTGATTAATCAGTCATTTAACGTAATGTTGTTACTTCTTTGTCTATTATAATTATTAATTTAGATGCATTTGTTTTTTAATCAGCCAATAACTTAGAATCTGGTCATGGACCACCAGTGGTCCACAGAATAAGAACAACTGCACTGCAGGCCACGCATTAAAATTTCCCCAAAACCTTGAAAAGATTCAAGACATGCTTTAATACAACCTCAAACATACTGTAAAAAACCAAGCCACTTCTTGATTTACTTTACACATTGAATACACACTCACATTTGATCAGAATTATGAATAAAACACTCTTTTGCAATGATATCATGCATTATGTGTGACTCTCAGCTGGACACTGTCAGTACTGGCAGAATGGGTTGTTGTTGTTGTTGGATAAGAACCATCACAATCAGTTTCTTATCTGCAGGCATGATCAAGGGTCAGTGTGAGGCTGATTTAAATGTTCCAGGAAAGACATATGTGTGTGTGTCTGTGATTAAGTGACGCTTAATGTTAAAGTAACCTCTACATAGCCAAAGATCACATGGCCTGAGATTACTATGTTCTGTGATAAAGACTGTCAGAGACTGCTGAACACGTGATGGACAAACTTAACAGAACATGCTGACACACAAACCTCACGTCCAAACTGAAGTCAAACTCCCTGTTATGGTTACTGTACTCACATACACTCGGGTTCATGGCCTGGGATAAGAGGACAGGAGTTTTACACCTCTGAACTATACAAAAACACACTTTGCATGGGCAAAACACACAAAGAACACCTTCTACAGACTCAGGGAAAAAGCAAGCATGTGATTGTGCACCAAGTTTGAATGCACAAACTGAAAAACTGGAAACATAAATAAAGCTCAAACAAAATAGATTACTCCATATGCACAACACATGACACACAACTGCCATCACAAACCATAATGAATCACCTATCAAGATTAACAATGGTTTGGTTGATGAGCAGCAAGTTAAGAATCAAAACATACCTACACTTTGAGAAAGAAGTTACTGAGAAACAGAGTAGCAACTAGTAAATCTGCCAATACCAGTAATTGCAAAATAACCACTCAAAGGAACTAAACTGCACCTTTTGATTCTTCTTGGAGCCAGGAAGCTTCTTCAGGCCAGGTTTGCTCCCGGAGGAGCCCATCTTCTCCTCAAACTCACGCTCCTGCTCTCTCTTCTCCCCTACCAGTCAAACAACCCAACAATCTTCAACTACTTTCCTCCTTCTCTACATTAAAAACTGGTCTGTCAGCATCAGTCTCCAGGCATGCTGCATTAGAAACAACTCCCTCCCTATCACAGACCTGCTCCCGTATTCCTCCTAAGAGAGAGGGAGTGGAAACTCAGATAAGAGAAAATGGAAAGATGAATGTTGAAAGAGTGAGTAGGTGGAAAAGTGGGTTCTGTGGTTATGAAGAAAATATTTCTTTTTTATGGGCAAGCAATTTGATTGGTTCTTATTGATATACTGAGACCAAAATAATAGATGAATCACATTTTACCAGGGTACAAGAAGTAAGTCCAAAGGTGATATCAGAGTTACATAACATGGCTGTTCTATAAATGAGATTGTGCTTGGTGTATTGGAGCTTATATAATATTATGGTCAACATGGGAACCGTTACATGGCAGAAGACCACAGGTCTGCAAAGCTGTGTAAGAAAAATACATGAAGAATCAGAACAAATGAGTAATTAGACTGGGGAAAAATGATTCAATTAAAAAGTAATGAGGTATTTGCTCAAAGTTAGATTTTAATAAAATCCATATGCAATAGTTTTGATGACAGTTCAAGCACAAGCAAACAACCCATTTGCATGTGCTTGAACAAATTTTATTTGAACTAGTTTTACTTGAAATATAAAATTTTTAGTAGACACTTCCACAGTGGTATTTTCCATAAAAAAATTTCAAAAATACCATGTAATTATATTCTATGAAATATGGTAAAAGTGCAAAGTGGTGGGTGGGTACAGAGAAACATTGCTCTACTGTTATCAGCCAAACAGCAGTGAGGTGGGAAAATAAACCACACCCCTTCTCCAAACCCCACCCCCTGGGACTCAATAGCAGCTGGTGCATTCCTCACAGCAACATCCCACCTCCTCTGTGCTCACTATCAATCACTGTGGGTGACACAAGGGCTAAAATTGTCAACTTTCCCCAAAGTAAAGTCTCGCTTTTTTCACGAGTGGAAAGAAAGTGAAAGATTTGAATTTTCTAGACAGTATGTGGGGTTTCTGGAGTTGAAGTGCAAAATTTGTGAAGTATCCTATAGGTGTTTTTTTAAGCTGTTTTGATAAGAAGAATTGATGTGGGAAGGCTTGCTATTATTGAGAGATAAGGAGATAAGATGACAAATTTGCATTATATATAGGACACCGAGGAATGCATGGAATGAGATGGCTAAAATGGAAATTTGAAAGAAAGAAAGTAAGTAAGTAAGTAAGTAAATTGTGGGATTCTGGGTTTAATTGTACGCCTGGGGTGAAGATTACTAGACTGGGTGTGGGGTGCACATTGAGTAACCCATTAACATAGTTACACTAACATTAGCTCACATAAGCCTATTTAAGTTCCCAACTTTAAACCTAGCTAATAGTGTTTACCTAGATATGAGTTCAGGCAGATTAGAGTAAATTTAAAGTCAACATGAAATCAAAATTGACCCTATTCACTTTCTTAATACACATTCCTAGTCTTGTGCATGATTTATGGGTGCACATTATTTCAAAGAACAAATATTTGTTGTCACAGTCTTTCAACAAAATGTAATCCATTTCTCCAGCTCTGGAACACCATTTTTTGGCTGCCGTCAGTGGGCCAGTACTTTCTCCAACCTATCTGCACCAGTCCATTCTGGTGTACTTTTTATGATCTCTAATATCTTTTATAATCTCTAATATCTTAATTCACTTCTATTTGAGTGAAAATTTTTCTATTTCTTGCAGGCTTTTACCTCTCTGGCCTCAATCAATTTCAACATTCAAAATCGAGAACTATTCCAGCCAGTCATGCAGGAAATACAAGACAGTTCATGCCTTCAGATGATCACACATTATCAGACAGTCTAGTGTATGATTCAGTACAACATTGTGCATCTAGATGATTTTACTGTCAGTGGTTCTACCTCAGGGCCCATGAGGGCGGGATTACGCTCAAACCTACTCTGTCAGATAAACCAATATGCAAAACGGTAGGGTGTTACTAAACTCCCCAATCAAATGAACAGTAGGCTTGAAACTTCACTCTCACACACAGAGGTTTCAGAATGATCAAAGCTGACATTGTATAATTGGATGTATTTAAGACTTAAGTAAGTCTGTACGCGATAGTGGATAGTGGTCTATTAGTCTACACAAACATTTGAGAAACTTCTTAACAAGATGTTAAAGCATTAAAAAGGCATTCAATAAGCCGTGAGCAGTGTGGCAAGGACATGTCAATGCCGGTGATTAATTATTAAGTTTTACTGGTTAGGCAAACTAAATACCTGAGACTTAACATTTTAAAAAATGACTGAATTACTTGTTAATTGTCATTTCTGTTTTATCAACAATTTTCTGTGACATCCTAAGAGAATACAAATCTGTGACTTACTATCTTACTATTGTTTTTGGTAGAGTGTTTACCTCATGGTTGATTTATTCAGACCAATGGGAATCCTTAAATACTTAGTTACACCTAGTAATTGATTGACAGCTCCTTTGATCTGCAAATATTTGCAAACCAAAAGAAGGTGAATGGAGATTAGCACTGTGGCAAGTCTGTATCCAGGATACAGCCAATCACGAAATAAAGGGCTTTTACAGACACTCCCAGATATTTGATCATGCCAGGCTGTATACATAGAGTTTGATGGGTCTGAAATTTAGTCAAAGAGACCCCAAAGAGGCCAACTGTTTCCTCTTCAAACTTATATTGTGCAAGTTGAGTCGCTACCGAAGCTGCGCTGAAGCCACATTCCATTTCCAGAACAATGGTGGAAAAGTAAGAAGTAAATTAAAGGAGGGAGATCAACGCACAAGTGCAACATCGAACTAAAGAGGCCCAGTAGCGTGTGGATCTGATGGCGATGAGCATGAATGAATAGAAGAACCTGTGTTTCGGTGGGTTGCAAAGAGATCATGTGAAGGGGTTAGGTCAAACTTGGCTTATTGACTAAACTAAATCATGCATGACATCTAGAGTGAATGTGAGAGAACATCCCCCCTGGAGCCCTCTTAGTTTCAACACACCTGGAAATGCTGGTTAATGGTACCACCATATGAAACATTTCCTACTTACCTGCTTTGTAGACAAAACAGACAGGCACATACGTTATGACAAGCCCTTGTAGTATGCTTGATTATCCATAATTACATTTCAGATGTTTGTAATTGCATCTGACCCAATTACATTTTCAAAGGATGAAATGATAATTTGAGATACCTGCAATTATAATCTGACTAATGGAACAGAGGAACAAAGATCTCTTGATTGAAGATAATTTGAATAGTCAAGACTTCATTATATACTGTAAGATATGTCTAATGTTAAACAGATTACAGTTCAAATCAGTTTTTTTCTGAAAGAAATTAATACTTTTGCTTAGCAATGGATGTATTAAATTGATAAAACATGACAGTAAAGACATTTAAAATGTCACAAAAGATTTTTGTGACTTTTGATCTTTCTGTTGGTTTCCACAAAAACATTAAGTAGTACAACTGTTTTCAAAATTGCTAAAAAGAAGAAGTTTCTTGAGCGCCAAATCAGCATATTAGAATGATCTCTAAAGGATCATGCGACACTGAAGACTAGATAAATGGCTGCTGAAAAATCATCTTTGCCATCATGGGAATAAATTACATTTTAAAATATATTCAAATCAGAAACAGTTATTTTGAATTGTAAAAACATTTCACAAAATTACTGTTTTTGCTGTATTCTTAAATGATGATAAATTAGATATATAAAACACCATTTTGCACAGCTCTCTGCCAAAGACCACTTTGCCAAAAGATCAGTAATATGCTGAATATCTATATATTAAAACCATGGCAAGAAAGAAAAATAGAAAATGAATGGTGAGTAAACCTGACAAAGAAACATCTAGACAAAAGACAAAAAATTAAACAGTAAAGTTCTCCAACCTCACTGAAGATGTGCTGCACAACCAGGGCAAGAGCTTCCAGTCGCCGATTGCCGTTAACGATGAGTTTACGGAGATGCAGGATGCATTGACTTTTCTTCTCATTTTGAAGACGAAGATCTTTCTCTTCCTCTTCCTCCGTCGGTCTTCCTTGACTAGCTGAGCTGTGCTGCTGTGTCCGTCCAGCTGTTGCCCCTGCAGCTTTGGGCCCTTTGGAGCTCTTGTCCACTGTAAAAGAGCGCGTGTTCAGTGTGGCCATTACGTTCAGCATGATTTCACAGTCCAGAATCACATATACTCCTCAATTCAACCAGTAAAAGTGAAAGCAAAAAACTGCACTTATGAGAAGAACATTCACCCCCATACACTAGAAAAATATTTTTATCTTAATGGTATCATAACAAAGAAATGAACATGACTAATAGGAAAGCTGTGCAACAAAAGCTTTAAGCAACAAACTCAGCACGCAAATAACATACGCCCTCTCTTGTGTTGATCCTGAAAAAAAAAAGTCATAGTGCATGCTGGGATTGCATCTTAATGAAAATGCACTAAGGTCCAGAGAGCACATTAAGAGTGCATTAGAAAGAGAGAGAGAGAGATTGAGTGTGTGTGTGTGTGTGTGTACTGAGAGTGCATTTTGGTCTCATCTTTTATAGGCTAACTGAAGTCAAAGTAAGGTTTCCATCCCATAATCTGTAAAGAATACTGACTATTAATTGAATTTTATAAGCATTCTCAAACTGCCTACTGAGCAATAACACATCTGAGATGTAGAGAAATAAGTATTTTTGATTATGTTTTTTTATATTTATATATGAGGTCATAAAATGTATAATAATTATTATACAAGAATTAGAAAAATAATGTGTAAACTAGGTGTAATACTGTCAATGCTTCACATGTAAATTCCACGTGTATAATTTATTTTTGTCTTAATTAGATACTGTGTGTGTGTGTGTGTACTGAGAGTGCATTTTGGTCTCATCTTTTATAGGCTAACTGAAGTCAAAGTAAGGTTTCCATCCCATAATCTGTAAAGAATACTGACTATTAATTGAATTTTATAAGCATTCTCAAACTGCCTACTGAGCAATAACACATCTGAGATGTAGAGAAATAAGTATTTTTGATTATGTTTTTTTATATTTATATATGAGGTCATAAAATGTATAATAATTATTATACAAGAATTAGAAAAATAATGTGTAAACTAGGTGTAATACTGTCAATGCTTCACATGTAAATTCCACGTGTATAATTTATTTTTGTCTTAATTAGATACTTAAAGCTTAAACATGAGGGTAAAGACAGATGAAGGCTGGATATATGTGTAATTTTGGTATTTGGTTGGCTTCTGTCAAACTCCCCGGTCTGTGTATGACATTTAACAAGAACTGTAATTTAGATGGTAATTTAGTCCCTGTTTGAATGTAATCTGTATTTACCAAGCAACTTTAAAATATGATATCCCACACACAAATCTGCCAAGTAACCACAATAGACAACAAACAGTGTGAAGAGGTGAAGAGTACAAATTGAATATTAGCTATTGCTGATGCAGTTTAACTCTCATTCCCTAGTAGACTGCTTTGGACAGCTGGCCTTAAAGAAACAGTTCACCCAAAAAAAGAAAAAAAAGAAAATCGCTTTATTACTATAGGAGTGTGGATTTTAGGGTAGACAGAAAATCTATCTTATTCACGATTCATACACTCTCAGAAAAACGGTACAAAAGCTGTCAGCTTTGGTACAGTTTTTCTGAGTGTAGGTTTTCAATTTGTTTAAGGAAAGATTTTTGTAAATTCCGAATGATTTGATTCAGTCCGATTCACAATGAGATGTAATTTCATTCTGTAATTTTTAAGTGCATATAGGATTATGTAAATGCTGCTCCTAATGCATCTTATATGCAAACAAAGGTATGTCTCCGATAATCTGCTTATGTAAAAACTGTAATGTTTATATATTTACAAATATTGAATGATACTTTATAGAATCATTTACAGCATTTTAAATAGATTCTTGATCAAAAGAAATGATTCATGATTCAAAAATCTATTTTTCAAAATCATTGTATATGCATTAGCAAGATTTGTTTTCGATGAATTGAGAAAACGAGGGAATCTTCTCACCCCTAGTCATCACTGTATGCTGTATGGCTTCAGAAGACTCAGCTGAATACTGAATGTCGTTGAATATAGCTGTAAGATCTGTGCGAAATGATGACAGAATTCTCATTTATGGGTGAACTATCCCTTTAAATCACCTTCCATGAATCAGAGAGTCTCTCTGATGCCCCCTGCTGGCAGATATATTTTCACTGTAGTTGACCCTTAGAGCATGCTTTCAAGCTTCTTATAGCTTTTGTAGAAATTAATTTACACAACAAATCATCTACGAATAATTTATCACTCTTAATGAAAGGAGACTTTTTGAAGTGAAGTGTCAAAATATCAATATAATGTCAACCGCTTGTAGAAATTACACACACACAAATACACACACTATTAATATTATTCTTTGTTCTCTTCTGCTTTGTGCATCAAAGAATAAGAACACTCAGTAGGCATGTTGTGGATTTAATAAAAAAAATGTCTAATCTTTTCTTATTTCGACTATGAATTTTATCTAATCAAATAAATAGAAATATGTTATCCTATTTATGATAAATGTCCAATCATTAAAATGCTCGTTGGTCAGATATTTCCTCTTTCTTTTTTATACCTAATACAAAAACAATTTTCTTCTAAACCTGGAAGTCTTTATGTATAATGCAAAGATCACTTCTGACGAATGTCTCTGTTACATTATTTAAACACAGGCTTGAAATAGAGAGATTGCTGCAGTCTTTTTCTGGCTTAGTGTGATGTGAGGGAATATGTGTGCTTTGAGATGAAATGCAATGTCCTTAAATAACTGTAACTCAGTGCTGAACAGTGCCCTTGCCTGTTGTCACATGACCACACCTGCACAATCTGCCACCCCACAGGACTGTGTCATCAGCTCTGATCACATCACTGCTGACCTCAGATACTCCGCTACTATGGATGTCAGTGTGGCACAGATTTTTGTCCCCAATACCCTTACAAAACTGTGCAGTGGTACTATTGTGGTATTGGATGATAACTTTTATATAGGCCTATACCATGCTATGGAAAGATTACCATATTTATATGTCATGGTACTCTTTAAAATGACCATGGAACATGTCCAAACATAATAAAAATTTTAAATGGCACATATATTAAATCATCTGAGTTTTTTATTAATATTATATTTTTGCCCATTTCTTGTACCTTCTAAAATTGAACAAAATCTGAAAAAACATTTTAAAAATTTAGCTTTATTTCAAATGTTTTATTTGCCCCATATTGCATCTTGTAATTTAAACCAAACCTTTAAAATGGTAAAAATGACTCTTTACATCATATATTTTCTTCTGAATAAATAAATAAAATATCAAACAAAATGTATTTTAAATACATCATTTTAAATTTTAGATTATATTTTGGCTATTTCTTGTAAATTCTGAAATTGACAAAATACATATGTATGTAAATATAAAAAAATTAAAAAAAAGTAACACTACCTCAAATGTTTTATTTGCCCATATATTACATTTTGTAATGTAAACTGAACCTTAAAACTGTAAATGATATATGTACAAAATGATTCAAATATATTTATAAATATATTTTGGCCAGATAATTTTTTTTCTTTAGCTATGGGATAGTTCCACTATGGTACATGTCCAAACAAAAACACGGTACTAACATGTATTACAAATAATAATACTAATGGAAAATATGGTACTGTATTACCATGGTAGCATGTCTAATAAGACAGCGTAAAGCTATGATAGTTAAATCTAAAACTCATGTATTGACTGCATTGTCTACTATTATTTGATTATCCACTATGTCTTGTGTTTGATTGATGCTTTCTAAAAGTTTATTTTTAAATTGGTGAGATATATATATATATATATGAACTTAGGTGTACAGTATAGAGAATGTGGCTTTACTAGATTACAAAATCATTAAACGTCATCACTATGCTGTGTAAAATAAAGGATAGTGTACATAGTCTCTGCTTGTGTGTGCATCTATGTGTGAACACGATAAGTCCATAAGTAGCATGTAATCAGTGTGCAGTCTAGGCCTCGTAATAAGTGTTTATTATGGTCTACCGTGACAGGAGACATGCTGTGATTGCTGTCCCCCAAACACCCCACTGGAGACAGACCGTAGCTAGTTACCACACACATACACACTGAGTAGGGCTCAACCACAGGCGTCCAAGCACAAGCTTCGTCAAGCGTGTCCACACCCAGGCCGGATATGTTCATGGTTATGCTAACAGACAGAGTGGTGCTCCTTTGATGCTGTTGTTTCTCTCAGCAATCCTCTTTTCATTACACTGCAAGATTAAACATCACACACACACTCATACAACCAGCAAACCGCAAGCCTCCACAGAAAAAAAATAAAGGCTTCCACTCTTCCACATAATTACTGGAAGGCAGATGAGGAAATTATGCACCCGCTCTGAAGGAAAGCCTGAATAAACGTTTCAGCGTTTTGCTTAATGGAAAGAATGATGTCACTTAGACAGAAGCAGTGCCACACATTCAAAAGGAGACCAAACACATTCAAACACATCACGGCACATCTTCTCAATCTAAATGTGACATAGTTTCATCTAGCAAGAGGAAACTGTCTAATGATACACCTTAAGCTTACCAAGGCTGCATTTGTTTGATCAAAACACAGTAATGTTGTGCAACCAATGTTGACAATAATAAGAGTTGTGCTGCTTAATATTGTGGAAATTGTGATATATTTTACAAGATTATTTGATAAATAGAAAGTCTAACAGAATAGCATTTATTTGAAATATATATTTTTATATGAAAGTAAAAGTATTTACTGACACTTTGGATCAATTTAATGTATCCTTGGTGAATAAAAAGTATTAATTCCTTTAAAAAAATGCACTGAATAGTACTGTAAATATTACATAAGCAAACTCTTGTTTTGTTAATTTAGTTTAATTCAGGTCTACCTACATGTTTTTGTTGTTATTCAACCTAAAATGACCCTCCTAAAAATCCTTACTGTGAACAAAAAGTACTATGAAGGTACCACGACACAGTGAAAAAATCTGGTATCCCTGTTGAAAAAACAAGCATATGCTGGTTAGGTATGTTTTGAAGCACGGCTGCT